GGTTATCTGCTTCCTCTCCTGTTTTTCTTTTGTCAGTTTGGCTAATGGTTTATCAATTTTGTTGATCTTTTCAAAGAACCAGCTTTTGGTCTTGTGAAGTCTTTCAGTTGTTTTTCTCATCTCTATTTCATTTAATTCTGTTCTGATTCTTATTATTTCCTTTCTTCTGGGCCCTGAGGGCTTCTTTTACTGCTCTCTTTCTACTTGTTCCAGTTGTAGGGTTAATTTTTTCATTATGGCCCTTTCTTCTTTTTGGATGTGTGTATTTCTTGCTATAAACTGACCTCTGAACACTGCTTTTGCTGTGTCCGAAAGGTTCTGGTAGGATGTGTTTTCATTCTTGTTTGATTCTATGAATTTCTTTATTCCATCTGTAATTTCTTCTATAACCCAGTAGTTTTTGAGCAAGGTGTTCAGTTTCCATGTGTTTGATTTTTTTCCCTTGCTTTTTCTGTTGTTGATTTCTACTTTTATGGCTTTATGGTCAGAAAAGATGCTTTGTGGTATTTTGATACTTTGGATTTTGTTAAGGCTTGCTTTATCGCCTAATATGTGGTCTATTCTGGAGAAAGTTCCATGTGTGTTGGAAAAGAAAGTATACTTGCCTACTGTTGGGTGGAGTGTTTGATATATGTCTATGAGATCAAGTTGGTTGATTGTAGCATTTAGCTCTTCCGTGTCTTTGTTTACTTTCTGGTTGTTCTGTTCTTCACCGAAAGTGGTGTGTTGAAGTGTCCTACTACTACTGCGGATCTGTCTGTCTCTCTTTTCAGTGCTGTTAGAGTTTGTTTTATGTATTTTGGAGCCCTGTCGTTGGGTGCATAAATATTATAGTTATGTCCTCCTGGTGTATTGACCCTTTCATCATTATATAGTGTCCCTCCTTATCCTTTGTGGTGGATTTTACTTTAAAGTATATTTTGTCAGAGATTAATATTGCAACTCCTGTCCTTTTTTGAGTGTTGTTGGCTTCATATATTTTTTCCATCCTTTTGAGTTTTAGTTTCTTTGTGTCTTTAAGTCTAAGGTGTGTCTCTTATAGGCAGCATATAGACGGATCGTGTTTTTTTATGCAGTCTGCTGCTCTCTGTCTCTTTATTGGTGCATTTAATCCATTTACATTCAGTATAATTATTTATAGGTATGAGTTTAGTGCTGTCATTTTGATGTCTTTTTTTGTGTGTTGTTCACAGTTCCACTTAATTTTCTGTGCTGAGTCGTTTTTCTTTATTTTCTTTTCATCTTTTTCGTTGTTTATTTTGTGTTTGCTGAGTCTTTATATGTTTCTAGTTTTTCATTTTGACTCGTAGGATTGTTAGTTTCCTTTGTGGTTACCTTAATATTTACCCCTATTTTTCTATGTTTATACCAGTCTTTTATTTCTTTATATTGCTTTGACTTACTCTCCATATGAAAAATGTATGTCTACATTTTTTAAGTCCCTCTTCTTTGTTTTAATGTTGTCATCTTTTACATATTGACATCTGTTTCCCTATTTTCAGTGTTTCAGTTTTGATTTACTTTTGTGACTTCTCTGTCTGGGTTGATATCTGGTTGCTCTGTCCTGTGTTCTAGTCTTGTGTTGTTATCTAATGTGACTGATTTTCTAACCTGAGGACTCCCTTTAGTATTTCTTGTAATTTTGTTTTGGTTTTTCCAAATTCCCTCAACTTCTGTTTAACTGGAAATGCCCTAATTTCACCATCATATTCTAGAGACAGTTTTGTTGGTTATATAATTCTTGGCTGGCAGTTTTTTTTCCTTCAAGGCTTTATATATGTCATCCCACTGTCTTCTTTCCTGCATGGTTTCTGCTGAGTCGTCAGAGCTTATTCTTATTGACTTTCCTTTGTAGATGACTTTTTGTTTATCCCTAGCTGCTCTTCAAATTCTCTCTTTAGTTTTGGCAAGTTTGATTATAATATGTCTTGGTGACTTTCTTTTGGGATCTACCTTATGTGGGGTTCGATGAACATCTTGGATAGATATCTCGTCATCTTTCCTGATACCAGGGAATATTTCTGCCAAAAAATCTTCAACAGTTCTGTCTGTGTTTTCTGTTATTCCCCCCTGTTCTGGTACTCCAATCACTCGTAGGTTATTCCTTTTGATAGAGTCCCTCGGAATTCATAGGGTTTCTTCATTTTTTTTAATCCTTTTATCTGATTTTTCCTCAGATAAGTTGATGTCAAGTGCTTTATCTTCAATCTCACTAATTCTGACTTCCATTGCCTCAATTCTGTTCCTATGACTTTCTGTTGAGTTGTCTATTTCTGAAAAATTACTGTTAATATTCTGGATTTCTGATTGCTTTCTCTTTATGGATTCTTCCAGCCTATTAAATTTGTGATTATGCTCTTCTCTTATTTTTAATTTCCTCTGTTCTGTGTTTTGCTTAATTTCCTTCATTATTTCTTGAAGAATTCTGTATATTAATCTTCTGTATTCTGCCTCTGGTAATTCCAGGAAATTTTTCTCCCCTTGAAAATTTCTGGATTCTTTATTTCGGGAACTTGCTGAAACCATCATGGATTGCCTCTTTATGTGATTTGATATTGACTGTTGTCTCCGAGCCATCAATAAGTTACTATATTTATTTGTTTATTTTATGTTTGCTTACTGTGTCCTAGCTTCTTGTTTTGTTTTGATATGCCCAAATAGGCTGCTCATAATGAGGTAGTTTGATTATTGGCACATTTGAAGCTCTAATGTCCTGCCACCAGGTAGTTAGATCTGTTACTAGGTATGAGAGCTCAGGAGGCCACCCACTCGTCCTTTTTGGATTCAGCTCAGATGCCCAGGTAGATAGCCACCAAGTGTGTGGTGTAGGCTCTCAGCTACAGTCCTAGACAGGCATGGGTGATTGGTGTAGGCACAGGCATCTGGTTGCAGCAGGGAGACATAGTCTGAGCAAGGCATGGGGCTGACGGCTGCCCCCGAGTGTCCAGGAGGAAGGTGTATCCCTCTTCCCTAGAGCACGTAGGTGGGTGGGTTTTACAGCCAGACTGTGAGCACCTAATGCTGTTGGCTGTAAGGACTGGGGGTCACCTCTTTTTCATGGGCCCCTGTCGCAGGTGGCTAGGTGGCGTGGGTGGAGCCACCAGTATTCAGGCCCTTGATGTGGGTAGTTGAAGACCCTACTTAATGGGCAGAGCAGTGTCAAATGTCAAGAACTTGCCACTTCACAGCTGAAACAGTTGAAGTTAGAGTTCTGGTATATACCCTGTTGTACCGCGGTAATGAGAGCGTACGCTGTTGCGATGAGCCCACAGAAGTCTATGCAAGGGGAAAGGCACTCAAAGTCTGTGGATTTCTTATGCCTGTGCCTAGGCAAAGGAGCTGTGCCTACCCTGTGTTCCTGGCTTAGGGGAGCCTGCAGTTTATTTTTTCCCGTTGGTTAATTTCTTTTCTCTCCAAGACAGAATGGCTCCGGGTGTGTGACGGATCCTACATCCGGCCCAGGGGACTCGGCAATTGTTGAAACCAGTCCGAGACCCAGTGCAGAGCAGGGAGCTGGGAGGTAAATACGAGAGAGGTTTTTCCCTAAGGGGGATTTTTTTGATCCGTGTGGTAAGCCATACGCAATTACTTACCTTTCTCTGATGAGGGCTGCTTCTCACTCGTTCTTATAAGGGTGGCCTTATAGACTCTCTGGTGCTGGATCTCTCGTGGTGCAGAAAACATGCCTCCACAGCACCACCGTTTGTCTGCCTCACTGCTTACTCCCGAGCTGCTCAGGCCTGAAGGGCTTAGGCTCTCGACGGGTCAGGGTGGCAACTGCTCGCTGCTTCTGAACCGTCTCTCCCTCCCGCAGCCACTGAGTCCAGTTCCTCAACTCTTCCTTTGATGTTCAGGGCTCACAGATTACCATGTATAATCGTATCACTTGTTTTTTCGTGTCTTTGTTGGAAGAGGGTCCACTGGAAGCATCTTACTACTCTGCCATCTTGGCCCCGCCCTCTAATTGGCTAATTTTAAGGAGGTATTACACCAGGCCTTTCTTCCTACTCTGTCTTAAGTCAGGAAGCTCTGCTGAAACCTCTCTACCATAGATAACCTTGCTGGTATTTGAAATACCACTAGCATAGCATCATGCAAGCCACCACAGTATGACAGACTGATAGATGGGTGCTGGAGAGTTATAGAAGTCTCGGCTAATTATTCAAGCCATCACAGTATGACAGAGTGATAGACGGGTGGTGGAGAGCTACAGAAGTCTGGGATAATTATTCTGTACCACTGAGGCAAACCTGAGTCCTCCAGCAGCCCTGTGAATTAGAAGAATTTCCATCCTGGCTGTTTGGAACAGGCAGTATTCTGGGCCCTGTGTTTTCACTGGGTGTTGTTGCCTCTGATCCTTTCATGTATTTCTTCCTTTGCCTTTAGGAAGTTTCCTCTTTTGTCCATGCTCATCACCCTCTGTTGAATTTTTGGTGGCAGTGTGGTGGGGATAGGACTGAGGGATGGCATCTGCAGCTCTCAAGGGCTGTCTCTGGGCAGCATTCTCCTCTCTGACACTGTCTTGTGGATTCTCGCCACCTTTGTCTCCTTGATTCTCAACTTGGTCTCCTCCAATCAGAGTGTCTGCTGAGTTCTGCCTGGTTCTCCTTTTACCTTGGCCTAGAAATTCTCTCAGGGCAGTGAGCTGGGGCATGTGTCTGAGAAGATTGCTGATTGTTAGCATTTTTGATTATTTTTTGTCATGCATTTCAGGGGTAAGAAAATCTAGGTAGGTATTGTAGCATTTTCACATATTTTGTCATAGTATCTTTATTTTCCTACAATTACAGTGAACCTTTGCTGAAAATAGCTTTTTTACAGAAGTATAAATAAGATGAAGTAAGTTATTTTTATTCTGAAAGGCCATTGAGTAATCTGTACTCTATGAAATAGCAAAATGCAGATTACAGTGTGTTTTGGAACTAAACTGGAAGGTCAGACTTTAAAAATAGGGAAAACTGTGATTTTTAAAATAGAACCGAATTATTTTCCTCTTCTAGGCGTGCCTTCAGATGCTGATTCTCCTGCTGCCAGTAATAAAATCAGCGGTGCAAATAATTGTAAGCCAAACCGTCCTTCTCTTGCCAAGATTCTGTTGTCATTGGATGGAAATCTGGCCAAACAGCAGGCCTTATCTCATATACTTACAGCACTGCAAATCATGTATGCCAGGTAGGCTTTCTGCCAACTTTGGAAATCCTGCAATTATGAAAGCTTTGGATTTTGTGATTTTTTGATTGACTAGATGTCTCCAAGAATGTGTTATGTTACTGTCTTTAAATACCGTGAGTTATAGGTAATATTGCCTTTGATGGTGAATGATGGTAACTTTTTGCTTCCTTTAATGAGCATTGACATAGGAATTCATAAACCAAGTTAAAATTTTTTTCATTATTCTTTTTTGGGGAAAGAGAGGAAGTATTAGTTGATAGTAATTACGAAGATGATGCAGGACTAGGTGGTGCTTTGTTCTGTTGTACATAGGGTCACTATGAGTCGGAACCAACTTGATGGCACCTAACAACACAACAACAGTTCCTAGTAATATTTAAGACCACCTGTCATCTTCCTCAGTTAAACTCTCAATAATGTGGATTTTTGGTAATATGACATTTGCAGTATTTTACTTCTGTTTTCTCATAACCTGAATAAGTTGCTCATCTATTAATGTATCATGGTTAAATGTATCATGGTTATGGACCTGACGAATAGAGAGAAATAAACACACAGGAACCTTAAGCAGTCAGGACCCTTAATTTCAGAACAAAACCAGAGTGATCTGGTTTAGTCCTTCCTGCCTAGGTGCAGCCCCTTGGTACATCGCAGGCTTTTGATAAGTAGAAAGTTACTTGATGTTGAAGTAGCTGGCCCTCACGCTATAACAGCAACCCAAGAACTTTTCTCAGGGTTATTCTGTTCTGATTTTTATGTTTGGAAGTTTTTCACCTGTTTTCACTCTGATTGTTGAAATAAATAACATCTCAAAAAAACAGTTTAGCTCTTGGCCGATGAATGCATGCTAATAATACGCCATATTTTTCCAAAACTCTCTTTCACATGTATCCTATAAAAGTGAGGCAATCCTTCAATAAGAGCTTGTCCTGTCTTCTTAAGTCACATGTTGTATAGCGTGAAATGTCAGTTCACCAAAGGCTTGGCTTTCTGTTGTGACAGAGATGCAGTGGTTGGAGCCCTGATGCCAGCTGGCATGATGGCACCAGTGGAGTGTCCCTCCTTCTCCTCCCCAGCACCCACTTCCGACGTGCCTGCCATGGCCAGTCTCATGAGTGGAGAAGAATGTGTGCTGGCTGTCGATATTGAAGACAGATTGAGTCCAAGTCCATGGCAAGAAAAGAGAGGAGAGGTAAAAAGTAAATTGTAAGACAATAAAGCAATATTATATTAGAAAGAAAAAGATAGTAACTTTGTGTTTGAAAATATCAGTCATTCTTTCACTTAGAGAGTTTTTGTGTTTACTACTATGATTTTTTGACTTGAACTAGAAATGTTTTCTATTTAAAAGAGCTTTTCAAGGGTTTGAATGGGAATAGATTTATTATTTTGTAAAGTCCTTAAATGCAAGTCTTTATCTACATTTATGAAATCTTAAAAGGTCTGAGAACCAGAAGTTTTGGAAAAACCCAATTTGAAGAGCTGTGCAGATCGTTTTCGTCTTATTCATGTGAATAGCAATAGGTTTTACTGCAAATATGGAGGTACTTAACTTTGCTGTGCTGCCCCAGATCCTACTGGAGGTGGTAGCTCATATGTGTAATACTGTGTTACCTCATTTTAAATCGCCCGGGGTGGCTTCAAATAAGGCGTTTTAGACCTGTGTGGGAAATGTACCATGTTGCTGACTTGTTTCCACTTCAACTTTCCCCAACCTGTGTACTTTTAAAAACTAGATCATTGCCTCTGAGGATGCTGTGACTCCCTCTGCAGTGACCCCATCTGCTGCTTCAGCTTCTTCTAGGCCATTCATTCCTGTGACCGATGATCCAGGAGCTGCCAGCATCATTGCAGAAACCATGACCAAAACCAAAGAAGTAAGAGGCTTTCTTCTTTAACTTTTTAGCTTGAAATAATTTCAAATTTATACAGAAGTTACAGAAATAATAGAACCATATACCATTCACCTAGACTCTCCACTTGGTTAACATTTCTGAACCATTCGTGAGAGATTTTCAGGACACAGTCTTGGTCACCCAGCATGTATTTCCTGAGTACCAGTCTATTCACCTGCATAACCAGTGCGACTGCCTAGGTCAGGACATTTACATTGATGTAGCATGTTTTCTAAACCCCAGACCTCTTCAGATTTTGCCCCTTGTTCCAATAATGTGCTGTATAGGTCTAGAGTCCAACCCAGGGTTGTGTGTTCTCCTTTTGGTCTTCAGTTTGAAGCAGTTCTTCAGTCCTTCTTTGTGGCAGTAATACCACAAATATGATGCTGAGTTCTTTTCAGTACATCAGATTGGGAGGCATACATTGTTGATTTGCTACATTACTGGTGATGTTAACTTTTTTCACTTGATTAAAGGGAACTGCCAGTTTTCTCTTCGAGAAGTTAAATGTCTTACTACATATTCATGGGGAAATTCTTTGAGACTATGTAAATATCTTATTCCTCATCAGACGTTCACCTACTGGTTTTTCTGCATCTATTGAGGATTCTAGCTGAATCCATTATTATTGTGGTAGCTGTTAAATGGTGATTTTTCTAACTTCATTGGTCTTTCTAGAATGTGACTGTTGCCATTCTTCTGTAAGACAGAGCTTTCCCTTATCTGTCTTTCTGTGTATCTATCTATCTTGGTATAGATTCAGGGATTCCCATTTTACTCATATAGTGGCATATGTTATTATCATCATTTGACCCCCAAATTGTCCCAGACTTGGCCAGTGGGAGCCTCCTCCGAACTAGTTCCTGTGTGCTTCTGACATATTTCCACCATTCTTTGAGCACTTCCTTACTTCCTGCACAGTAGTACGTTCCAGACTCAGCTTGTGCTTACCTTGCCCCTGCCCTGGAATTAGCCATTTCACAAAGGAACCCTAGTTCTTTTTAGTGGATCATAGGATTTAGAAACCCAGATCTGGACTCTGGGTGACTTGATTGTGTCCAGGTGTCATTAGTTTAGGAGCCCTGGTGGTGCAGTGGTTAAAGTGCTCAGCTGCGAACCTGAAGGTCGGCTGTTAAAACCCACCAGCTGCTCCACAGGGGAAAGATTTGCTCCCATAAAGATTTACAGCCTTGGAAAACCTGTGGGGCAGTTATACCCTCTCCTGTAGGGCTGCTATGAGTTGGAATTGACTTGATGGTGGTGGCTTGGTTTTTTGGTTTAGGTCCTCTCAGCAGACAGACAGACAGGCATACACACGAGGATTTCTTGTCTTTGATACTTTTTGATTCCATTCCAACCCCACAGGGTTTGGCCTCACCCTGGCCCCTTTCATACCTATAGTTAGTGGGTCACTCTGTGTTTTGCTGGATTTGGTTTGCTAGTATATTTGTGAGAATTTTTGCATCTTATTCATAAGGATACAAAAAAAAAAAAAAAAAAAAAATTAAACCCGTTGCCATCGAGTCGATAGGGTTTCCAAAGAGTGGCTGGTGGATTCGAACTAGTGACCTTTTGGTTAGCAGCCAAGCTCTTAACACTGCACCACCAGGGCTCCATTCATAAGGATATTGATCTGTAATTTTCTTTTCTTGTGATGCATTTGTCTGGTTTTGGTATTGGGGCCTCAGAGAATGAGTTGGGAAATGTTCCTTCCTCTTCTGTTTTTTGAAAGTGCTAATTTTTTTTAAAAAACATTGGGTAGAATTTTGTGTGTCTTTTTGACATGTTCTCACCATTGTTTGAGTGTTTCCTTGCTTTCTGGCACAACACAGTGTTCCAAGCTCAACAAGATATTTAATGCTCCAACAGAGAAATGAACTCCAAGAAGTTCTGGTTTTCTTTGGTGGAGAATGGTATTGAGTAGTGCTCATTGCTACTGGGGTGTTATTATTCTTGAGCCCTCTTAGTGGGCAGAGCTAAGGAATAAGTATGTATGTGTGTACACACACAATAGATATTTACATCAGTATTTCGGTATATGGAAAACCACTAATTTAAACTGGTACAGCCAATTCTAACCCAACAGGACAGGATTCATTCTAGTTTTTTCCCTCTCCGTATTTGTAACTCCCTTCTCTGAAAGTGAGGAAGCTGGCTCCTATTATTGACTGACTGGTTGAATCCCTTATGGAACCAGCCTCCCATCTTGGCTGCCATTCCTCCTCCTTCTTCCCCTGTACAGTCACTGACAGTCACAGCCAGAGATGACCTCTGCCCTGCTGAAATTGTGACCCCTACCCCCCATGCAGGCTGCCCCAAAGCATGGATGCTTTCCTTACTTCCCTTGCCTCTGGAGCTCTGGCCACCCCAACATGTGGACATCCTCCTCACCCTGCTTAGCGATGACTTCCCTTGCTAGCCCATGCTATCTGGGACCAACAGGCATTATTTCTAATTCCATCTGAAACTGTTGGTTTACTGTGCTGCTAGTGCTGGCAAAAATATGTCCTGTGGAAATTATTCATATCATCTACAGTAATAAGAAAATTACCATTTATTATGTGTCTGAAATCAGTTTCTGATTTTTGACACTCGCCTAGGATAAGGGTTTAATCCAGAGATTATTCTGAAGAAAGCAACATTTTGCTACCTCATAGATTAGACATAGGTGGCATTATTCAGATTATACCCCCTAAATTCTAATAATTTCAGTCTGAGTTTGACTCACATATTATGACAAAGTAGTATTCATGTTGACGTTGGGCTATAACTCATGATCAAAGACGTGCTGGTAGTGACTTTTTAAAGCAATTTCTCCAGACTTGTTTCTGTTTTTTTTTTTTAATCACCCTGCCCCACCAAAAATAAAATTGGGTACCTTTTCAGTTGCAAGGCCAGAGTTGTCTTATGCAAATAATCAGTTCTGCTAAATGCTTCTGCTGTTCTTCATTGAGTCAGATTCTGGAATGTTATCATTTCTGGTGAATTTCACCATGCAGAAGTAGGAGCAGGATTGTTTCTTTCTTTTTTTAAATGTGTATTAATTGTTTAATGAGAAACTAGTTTGGTCTGTAAACCTTCATCTAAAGTACAATAAAAAAATTAAAAATAAATAAAAAGAAAAAGCCTTGAACTTTCATATTAGAAGGGTCTGTTTACCAAATGGTGAGCAGGAATAATAATTTTAAATACATACGAGGATGACAAAAAGTGTTGCTACTAGGGTTCCAGTTCATACATACAAGGGTTTATTCCAAACAAAACGTGTTTAAACTTGTCTCTGCAATCAGTGGATGGCTGCAGACAAGCTCCCTCAGTAATACACTTGTCTTAGTATTGTTGGAGCCCTGGTGGCGCAGTGGTCAAGAGAGCAGCTGCTAACCTGAAGGTCGGCAGTTCGAATCCTCCAGCTGCATTTTGGAAACCCTATGAGGCAGTTCTCCTCTGTCCTATAGGGTTGCTATGAGTTGGAATCAACTCAACGGCAATGGGTTTTTTTTGTTTGTTTGTTTAGTCTCGTTAGGATGCCTTCAAGAAAAAGCCATGGGAAAAAAAAAACGATTTTGAGGTTAGGCTTAGTACCAAATTTTTAACAAAACTCTAGTGGACATCCCTCCAAGTCATCGAAGCTTTACAACAAGTTTATGGGAATGCTAACCCACATAAAAACAATAGTTTTTAGATGGATCAAGCATTTTAAGGAAGATCGGGAAGACCCCAAAGATGAGCCAAGAGAAGGAAGACTGCTCAGAGGGTTATAGCACTGTTTTGGGGGGATTCCAAAGGGGTAGTCTTGATTTTCTTTTTTTTTTTGGTTTTAATGAAGAGAAGTTTATTTCCTCACAGTCAAAGTAGGCTGAAAGTCCAAAGTCAGGGTGTCAGCTCCAGGGAAAGGCTTTTTCTCTCTGTCGGCCTTCTCATCAGTGTTCCCCTGGACTAGGAGCTTCTTGGTGCAGGGACCCCAGTCCAAAGGATGCGCTCTGCTCCTGGCACTGTTTTCTTGATGGTATGAGGTCCCCCAGGATTGTTTCTTTTTTTTAATAATTTTATTTTTTTTTGTTGTTGAAAATAATACACAGTAGAACATACACCAATTCAATAATTTTTACATGTGCAATTCAGGTACATAGATTACATTTTTCAAATTGTACAACCATTTTCCCCCTCCCTTTCTGAATTGTTCTTCCCCCATAGTATAAACTCAGGGTCCCCTACGCTTCCTATCTAACCTTTCAAGTTGCTGTTGTCAATTTGATCCTTTATAGATAGAGCGTATATAGATAGCATAATGCTCAAGGCAGACGTCATTTACTAATTAAGCTAAACTATTGTTTGGTTTAAAGAAGACTTCCGGGGATATTTTTGGTTAGAGGTTTAATGATTAGCTCCAGGCAATAGCTTTGGTTGTTCATCCAGTCTGGTTTGTTAAGTCTGGATTCTTTGAGAATTTGAAATTATGTTCTGCATTTTTTCCCCATTTGATCAGGATTCTTCTATAGATTCTTCTAATGTTCAGTGATGGAAGCTGGGCACCATTCAGCTCTTCTGGTCTCATGGCAAAGGAGGCAGTTGTTCCTGAAGACAAGTAACCACACATTCCATATCCTGCTACTGTTACTGACTCTCCTTCTTCTGTTGCTTCAGAAGAATAGAGACCAGTTGTTGTACCATAGATAGCTGCTTGCAAGCTTTTAAGACCCCAGGCACTATACAACAGACTAGGACGTAGAACCAAAGCATGAACACGATATTAGGTCAATTAATGGGATGTCCCGTGAAGCCATGACATGATCCTAAACCTCCAAACCAGGAAACCAAATTCCATGAGGTGTTTGGTTGTACATAAGCAGCCTTGGCAGCTGCTTTTTTTTTTTTTTTTTTTTTTTTTGTAAAAATACATATCAAACAACATTTGCCAATTCAGCTTTTTACAAGTGTACAACTTATTGACAGCAGTTAATCAGCTGTGCAGCCCTACCATT